TCAGGTTCAAACCCACGACGATCACGGAGATGGACGAGACCATGACCAACGAGAAGCGTGGGGTGAAGATGGACTTGACAGTGAACGGCAGACCGACGCACAGGCAGCGCTCTACGGACACGTAGGACGCCAGGGCGTAGGACACGTAGCCGGAGAACGACACGATGTTGACGAAAAACATCTGAGAGACGTTTCGCCACGACGCGCCCAGGGCGGGCCAGGCCCAGCCTAGAGGGATCCCCAACGTGTGGGCGAAGAAACAGATGCACTTGACGAAGTCCCACGAAGCTATGGCGAACAACGAAATGTTGACCTCTTCACGAAATCCTTGCCTGGCGAAGACCAGCAAATTGATGGCGTTGGTGGCGGCCCCAAGGAAGCTGAAGCCGCACAAGATCAAGAAATCAACGATGGTCCCGAAGTAAAAGGCTACGTCGTCAACTTCTGCCATGGACTGTGAACAAGACAGAACAATGGTCGGCTATCTTATCCTACAAAGGGATTGTTAACTTCATGAAACAAATTCATGAGATACATTTGATAAAACTATGCACCAATTTACACTCTGTCAGCTTACACGCTGTCAGCTTACACGCTGTCAGCTTACACGCTGTCAGCTTACACTCTTTCAGCTTACACGTTTGTCAACTGGAAAAAAAAGATATTTTATTTATTTCTAAGCCCAATAAACGGTCAGTTGTCATGACGTCTAAATGCTATTTAAATATAAGAACGCGTCAAGCTTCCTTCAAACTTCTCATCTCAATGGCAATGATACTCTCACCATATTCTGTCAAAAATAATTTAATAGCCCCCCTTTGTTTAATCAGCGGGCCGTCTAAGAGAGATGTGTCTTTATTGTCTTCGCGGCCATGTTTTATCTCGTGTTACGAACATCACAAGCCTCACCAGCACAAATTATAGGACAGTTATGAACCAGTATTGACACGGAGTGTGTAGTTACGATTAGTGGGCCACACAATTGTAGGATGAGATCAGGAGCTAATGCTAGACCATGTCGTGTTGTTAGTGCCGATGAAGGAGATCCAGAGATAATAATAATACATTGTAGAAAGGCCAAGAATATTTGTTGAACACCAGCAATTATCAAATAGTTTAAATCCTTTCCATTTAAATATACATTTATATTTCAGAGATCGTTCTTATTCTTGCCTGCTCATTACTCCCGAAAGAAAATATGCTATTTTGTTATTCTCAAACCCAACCAATGTCTAGGCTATCTATAGCTGACGGATTACTGCTGAACTAGATCTTTGTCACATATATGATTAGAGTGGTGAATTTTCTTTACATTTATCATATATTATAGCTTTTAATAAAACTGTACTTCAGATGTTGAATTTTATTCTTTATTGTTATTATTTATAAAAAATTCAAGACTCAATCATTACGTGGAGAATTTCAGTAACATCAAAAAAGATTTATTTTTAAAAAATATATAGTTATGGTACGGCGTAAAAAAGAAAACTATTTGCTCTTCAAAGTTCAAAGCTGCCCCAGGCGGAAGACAGTTCTAATATAATTCTGGTTTTACCAACGACGATCTAAAACATCTTGAAGATAACTAGATATATATTCATGAAAACAGAGCTTCTTTGAATTCAAGTTTAGCATACCTTGTTCTTATATTTCTTTTACACAACTTGAATGCAGTCAATTAACTATTACAATCTTCAGCAGTTAGCTGTCTACTGATCTACACCTTGTTAGAGCTGAGTGATAGGACCTTGGCTGCCTGCTGATCTACACCTTGTTAGAGTTGAGTGATAGGACCTTGGTAGTCTACTGATCTACACCTTGTTAGAGCTGAGTGATAGGACCTTGGCTGCCTGCTGATCTACATCTTGTTAGAGCTGAGTGATAGGACCTTGGCTGCCTGCTGATCTAAATCTTGTTAGAGCTGAGTTATAGGACCTTGGCTACCTGCTGTTCTACACCTTGTTAGAGCTGAGTGATAGGACCTTGGCTGCCTGCTGATCTACTCCTTGTTAGAGCTGAGTGATAGGACCTTGGCTGCCTGCTGATCTACACCTTGTTAGAGCTGAGTGATAGACCTTGGCTGCCTGCTGATCTACACCTTGTTAGAGCTGAGTGATAGGACCTTGGCTGTCTACTGATCTACACCTTGTTAGAGCTGAGTGATAGGACCTTGGCTGCCTGCTGATCTACACCTTGTAAGAGCTGAGTGATAGGACCTTGGCTGCCTGCTGATCTACACCTTGTTAGAGCTGAGTGATATGACCTTGGCTGTTTACTGATCTACACCTTGTTAGAGCGGAGTGATAGGACCTTGGTAGTCTACTGATCTACACCTTGTTAGAGCTGAGTGATAGGAGCTTGGCAGTCTACTGATTGACACCTCGTTAGAGCTAAGTGATAGTAGCTTGGCAGTCTACTGAAAGACGCCTTTTTGGAGCTGAGTGATAGGACCTTGGCAGTTTTTACATTAATATATTATCATATTACAAGATGACTGTTTCAATATCCCAAGTTTCATGTGAACAAAGTTTGTCGAAACTTAAATAAGGGATGGATTGTTATCAACTTTGTCATGAAACCAATTGGAAGAATTTGTGGCGATGAACTGACTGTGAGCCAGATATAACAGCAAACCTGTCGTAGGGACGAAAAATGAATGACTTGAGAAGTCCAGCGAGCTATATGGAAATTCTACACACGATCGATGCTGTGATATTAGTTTGTAATCTGTCACTTAGGTGTGTGGTTTTTATTTTTATTTTACTTTTCAATATTTTTGGAGACTGTCTTTTTATTTAAAATAATAATTTTACAAAAAATAATTTTAATAAATTAATTTAAATATACCTTGGAGTTTATGTATACCCGGGCCACAGGCCCATTAAATGTTTAACAAGTCCTGGGAGCCCGTGCCAATTTAATCCCTCGATCCGCTTTGCTTTTATCGAAATGTTTGGTTTAAATAGTGCGACTTTTACGCGAGTATATACGTTACTTATAAAGAACTATTTGTGATATACCAAAGGAGAGTCCAGGGTTTCTGGTCTTGTGAATTTGACAATAGAAGGTGATAAGATGAAGAATGTTGATTTTTCTGCACGCTAAAATGCTCACGTTATCTCTGAGCACACCCGTTAGGGTCTTTGACCACTGATATAATGAACGTCATAGCCCATCTGTTAGGGCCTACTTATGTTTGACCACTCATATAATGCACGTCTGAGCACACCCGTTAGAGTCTTTGACCACTGATATAATGAACGTCATAGCCCACCTGTTAGGGCCTACTTATGTCTGACCACTCATATAATGCACGTCTGAGCACACCCGTTAGGGCCTAATCATGTTTGACCACTGATATAATGAACGTTATAACGTCTGGTACTTACGCTGATTAAAATGGGATTATATGCCATTTATCCTAATTTGTTTTTTTTCTTCCATTTCATATTAAATGAAATAACGTACCCGGGATTTAGCAAGAACTATTTCCTGACTGCTGAAAAAACGCGATTGGTTGGGACTGATAGAAGGGCAATTGTGTATTTTGTTTTCTACGTAGGCTATGTGGGTGAAGGCCTTTTTTACAAAAGACTTTACAAAAAATATTAATCTTTAGTAATTAATTTCAAAACAATTCATACGAATTAGTTCAATTTGTGATTTTCCTTCAATCCGTTATATTGAATGGTAACCGATGCGAACGTCCGTCATTTCTTCAATGTTCCAGAATGAGTTCTTTTTGTTGAATGGTTTGTCTTTATTTTATTACTTATATTTTATGTTCAATATTTGTACCGCCCTTTTTGATGGGTTTTTGCTAGTTAATAACTAAATAAAGTCATATTTGTATTGTTCTTTTGGCGGGTTTTTGCTAGTTAATAACTAAATAAAGTCATATTTGTATTGTTCTTTTGGCGGGTTTTTGCTAGTTAATAACTAAATAAAGTCATATTTGTATTGTTCTTTTGGCGGGTTTTTGCGAGTAAATCCCTTAACACAGACATATTTATATTGTCCTTTTCACTTGATAGTTTTACATATTCTGATGCTTTTCAAACATAAAAACTTTGTAATTATCATCTATGGTTCTGTTGACAACTTGTGGAAGGGGAATTTGTTTTTAATGATTTCTATGCATTGTTATGATTTCTGTTATAATTTGTTTTGGTGGTAATATTTGTTATGATTTCTGTTATAATTTGTTTTGGTGGTAATATTTGTTATGATTTCTGTTATAATTTGTTTTGGTGGTAATATTTGTTATGATTTCTGTTATAATTTGTTTTGGTGGTAATATTTGTTATGATTTCTGTTATAATTTGTTTTGGTGGTAATATTTGTTATGATTTCTGTTATAATTTGTTTTGGTGGTAATATTTGTTATGATTTCTGTTATAATTTGTTTTGGTGGTAATATTTGTTATGATTTCTGTTATAATTTGTTTTGGTGGTAATATTTGTTATGATTTCTTTTATAATTTGTTTTGGTGGTAATATTTGTTATGATTTCTGTTATAATTTGTTTTGGTGGTAATATTTGTTATGATTTCTGTTATAATTTGTTTTGGTGGTAATATTTGTTATGATTTCTTTTATAATTTGTTTTGGTGGTAATATTTGTTATGATTTCTGTTATAATTTGTTTTGGTGGTAATATTTGTTATGATTTCTGTTATAATTTGTTTTGGTGGTAATATTTGTTATGATTTCTTTTATAATTTGTTTTGGTGGTAATATTTGTTATGATTTCCTTTTGTTTTGAATTGATGGGTCAGAAACATGAGATACGGAACGAACGTTTCCAGTTAAACTAACCATTGCTAGAAACTGCAAAAAATTAACATTTATTTGGACATGATTGCATCAGTAATAACATTTTTTCAGTAGATTCTAAATCCATGCCACCCTATTAGCCCTTGTATCAGCGATTTACCACAACCACCCCCCACCCTTTCCCCACAGACTGGATGAAGATCTTGAATAAATTATTCATATTCGCCTTCTTATCCTTAGTCTGTTTCCGAAACCCACTCTCTACACCACGCAGTGATCAACGGTTGGCCCGTGCCAGTCAATGTGGATCTCGCTAAGCAGCGTTTCGTGAGTCTATAACCCCTAACCAATTAGATATTTTTTATCACATAGTTTCTCACGGCTCATGTAGTGATCAGTTCGTGGTCAGAATCCATACCGCTTTATTCTAAGTAGCCTGCCTCTCATCATAATTATGACTTCAGAACCCGATTTTGATATGCAAATATTTAATTCCCACACTAAATCAGTAAAAAAAAAAAATTAGCCAAGATTTGGGACTAATTTTTTGGGGCTGGTTTAGTGGGACTAGCATTTTGGACTAGTTTTTGGGACTAGTTTTTGGGGAAGGTATTGGCGTTAATTTCGGGCTTAGCTTCGGGCTTATCTTCGGGCTAGTCTTAGGGCTGGTCTTAGGGCCGGTTATTTTCCAGTCCCACGCACCGGCGTCCTCTTCTGGTCGCTTGACCCGCTGGGCAGTACTGGCTTGTCTGGTCAGCGAGAGTATGCTGCCTGGTACATTGTCCCTGTCCACAAACATCCCGTATGACCTGCCGCTGTCTACGTGAGTCTCCGTTCTGAACACTCGCTCTGCGTCAGACATTTTACTGATCGTTGATTCAGACGGCCTATACGTGCCTTCTGATACTTGCTTGCGAAGTTCTTTTGTTTTGACGGCCAGGAGATTCATCAGCGGAGGACCTTTCATGGTCGACTTTCGCTTGAGCCGAAGTGCATCTGAGATCCGTTTGGCCGTGGTGGATTTATAGTTTGGCTCGGACTCATCAGAGTCATCGGGGTCGTACCGTGTTGGACCACTCGACCGCGCACTTGACTTTCTGTGAATATGTTCCCAGACGACAGGGCTTTCAGGCACCTGACCACTTAGGAGGGATTTCTTCGGTAGCGGCTTTTTGGGTGCAGACTCTACAGCGCCTGCAAGGCGGGCAACGGCCAGGCCCGCTAGGGACATCCGAGATGCTCGAAGCTTTTTGTGTTGGATAGCGGACTGGGCGAACGAGCTGGACGATAGATTGTCAAACATTAAAATTGTTGCATGTAGTCAACAGTACAGACTGGGACATGAAGTAGACATTATAGTTTGGGACATGAATTAGACATTATAGTTTGGGACATGAAGTAGAGATTATAGTTTGGGACATGAAGTAGACATTATAGTTTGGGACAAGAAGTAGACATTATAGCTTGGGACATGAAGTAGACAGAGAAGATTGTGACATGAAGTAGACAGTACAGATAGGGACATGTAGTAGACAGTATAGCTTGTGACATGCAGTAAAAGGTTGTTAAACATGTGAGAAATTCTATAACAATCTTGTCTTTTACAATGGCACAACGATAATTTTTTTTAAATTCTAGATTTGATGACTTCTGTCACCAATTGATGACTTCTGAACCCTATTAATGGGTTCTGTCACTTAATGATGGGTCCTGTCACTTATTGATGGGTTCTTTTACTCACTGATGGGTTCTGTCACCTAATGATGGGGTCTGTCACTTAATGATGGGTTCTGTCACTTATTGATGTGTTCTGTCACTTAATGATGGGGTCTGTCGCTTAATGATGGATTCTTTAACAGACTGATGGGTTATGTCACTTAATGATGGGTCTGTCACTTAATGATGGGTTATGTCACTTATTGATGGGTTATGTCGCTTAATGATGGATTCTTTAACAGACTGATGGGTTATGTCACTTAATGATGGGTCTGTCACTTAATGATGGGTTATGTCACTTATTGATGGGTTCTGTCACTTAATGATGGGTTCTGTCACTTATTGATGGGTTCTGTCACTTAATGATGGGGTCTCTCGCTTAATGATGGGTTCTTTAACTCACTGCTGGGTTATGTCACTTAATGATGGGTCTGTCACTTATTGATTGGTTCTGTCACTCAATGATGGGTTCTGTCACTTATTGATGGTTCTGTCACTTAATGATGGGTTATGTCACTTATTGATGGGTTATGTCACTTAATGATGGGTTCTGTCACTTAATGATGGGTTCTTTAACTCACTGATGGGTTCTGTCACTTATTGATGGTTTCTGTCACTTAATGAGGGGTATGTCACTTATTGATGGGTTCTGTCACTTAATGATGGGGTCTGTCACATTTCGATGGCTACTGTAACTGACTTACACTTCTTTTTTGTTGTAGTCAAAGTTGGAGGGAGGCTTGGCGTTATCACTGGAGCCAGTGTCCCCGCTGCCAGAGTGAGTCGTCTGTATGGTCCTCCTCACTTCCGTGCCCACCTCAGGAACCATGGTCACAGGTTTACTGATGAGATTCTGGAGGATTAAATGACAACTTACTACAGGCGTACTGAAGCTTCATTTCTGATACTTTTTGGAGAACAGAAAGCGTTAGATCTATCGGACACTTTATGAAGATCATGTGAAATTCGGGAAAATAATGACATAAGGACGTCCCATTACATTAACGTAAAGGAAAGCTCAGTGACGGTCGTAACTAAGCGTTACAAAATGTCAGCTACGTCCTGAACCTAATGCAGGCTACATCAGTCATGTTTATATATGACAAGGAAATGTATTCTTAGACTAAATAAAGCGTTGTGTTGTGTTTCAAGCGTCTCACGTCAGTGACATCACAAAAATTAAATGAAGTAAGTTGACGATCAGTCGTTATCTAACTTTTGATTTGTGTATTTGGTCATTTATTAGATGACAATGGGGTAAGTAATTGATAGAAATTGACCAATGAACAGTCATGGATAAAAAAGAAACATTTTCTAGTGTTACTACAATGTTTCTTTCAGGCCCCCCCCCCTTTTCAAGCGTACTGAAGAAAGTCAACTGCAGGAGCAAAATGTGTATTACACTAAAAAGGAACTGGTTCCTTAAATCGATTACAATTAGTGGGACCGATGAAACATCTCTACGCTAGATATATATTATGCCCCCTACATTTAAGGTCAATCTTTTTAGAGACTTTCAATAATCGATTATAAATGTCGTACTGTTACCGATTTTGCCGCTCATTTTATAAGCCGAAATCTTATTTCCAGTTTTTCACATAATATAGGTATTTTTAAAAAAAAATCTTTGCAGCTTCACAAGTTTAAAGACTTTAATAACTCAAAATATCTGAAATAAACACCGAATTCAAGTATGTGCCAAAATACATCCCTGCATTTTAAATTCATCAAAAATGTTCTAAGGGGACCCTGCTTTTGTTGAAAACTCTTAAATTTCTACTCTCTCCTCCAGCCCCCGTGCCGACGAATGTGACGTTGTGGATTTGAGTCTAAGCTTGCGCCAAAATGATAACCTGGGGAGGGGGAAATTTTGGAGTGACTTCATTTCATGAATTGCACTGGGCGCTATAATGCCTCCTCGGACCGCTTGAAAATCTTCCCCCCCCCCCAACAATCAAATAGTCTAATGGAAACCCTGAATTCAGGTTTACTCCTAAAGGCACCACTTGATTTTGAAATAATCAAATATTTTCTGGGGATTGGCCCCGATATCACCTTTTCCGCTTGATCGTCAGCAGCGCCATCGATTTCCACACCATTTCCCGATAAAAATGACAGTTTAGATAACCCTGGTCATCAGTTTTGGTGCCGATAGATACGTGGCCTTGTGACGTAGCTAGTGTTGGTGCCTTCCTGGGCGCGCACATATTTTAACCACGTTCCCTTTCACGACACTAACTGTGCAGCTGTCCGAATATGCTGCCACTCCATAGAAAGAAAAAGTGACACCTAGGCGAACCACCCAAAAGGTGAAGTTGTGAATATAGAGGAAGTTGTGTAGATAGAGAAAGGTGAAAGGTGAAGTTATCAATGATGTTGAAAGGTGAAGGTGAAAGAAGGGATAGTGAATAAACGGGAAGTGCAGAAAGCTGAAGGGGACATAATGAACATAGGTGAAGCTGAAAGGTCATGCTTACCTGCATAGCTTCTCGAATGTTCTCAGGATAGTATTCGGGAGATTTGCCGTCTGGTTCGTTGCGAACTTGGCTAAAAATGTCCATCAATATGTGGCATAAATGTCAAATATAATGTCACATATAAATGTCCATTAAAATAGTACATAAATGTACACATTTCAAGTACTCTAGATAAATGACCAGTTGTATTCTATAAATAATTGTCCAGCATTGTATCCAGTTGCCATATAATTATTTTAAAAAATATAGAGTGTAACATATACATTTCCAGTAATATGTCAAATATAAATGTTGATCTGTAAATTGCATATAAAATGACATGTAATATATAACATATAAATGTCCAAGATTATATCACATACACAATATAACAATGCCCAGTAATCGGTTATTATTAAAACGTCCAGGAATATATCAGATATGAATGTAGTATCATATATGTTTCGAGACACAAATCTAGGAAGCATAACGATCGCATTCAAACCTGTGATTATTGAGTGAGCGCATGCTTTCCACTTGGTCTTGCTTAACCGTGTGAATAATATCATGTGGAGATAATGATATGATAAACGTTCCTATAGATCAGACATTACCTTCTATATGAAATGGTGATGGCAGCCACAATGACCACAGAAGCAAGGGCAGCAAGGACTGTGACGATGCTTGTTCTCTTAACAACTGGGGACACCATACATACCAGTGGTAACATTATTGGTAACAGGAGTGCCGGAGTGACGTAATACAACACACCAGTGGTAACATTCTCGGTGACAGGCGTGCCGGAGTGACGTAATACAACACACCAGGGGTAACATTATCGGGGATAGGAGTGCCGGAGTGACGTAATACAACACACCAGTGGTAATATTATTGGTAACAGGAGTGCCGGAGTGACGTAATACAACACTCCAGTGGTAACATTATCGGTGACAGGAGTGCCGGAGTGACGTAATACAACACATCAGGGGTAACATTATCGGTGACAGGAGTGGTGTTATACAACACACCAGTGGTAACATTATCCTTTGCACACTTCATGTATCTTAAATGTAGGGAAAAAAACAAACAAGAAAAAACATCAGAAAACAACACAATTATAGATGAAGGACAATTTTAAAAATCAAATTATTAGTATTTCTGTGGGAAGTACGGGCCTGCTTTTGGCTAATGAGATGGTCAATCTCCATTTCCATATGCGCCAGTACTACACGGTTGTACAAGTACGGCGAACAAGCGGGCCGGGTTAAGGACCCCCAGTGGGCCAAATCAGGACCACGAGCCGTAATTTGTGGACCCCTGCTCTATATGGAAACACTGCGTACTTACCAAACTACATGGAAACAATATGTACTCTCAAGAATCTACATAGAAACAATATGTACTTAAAAGAGTCTACATGGAAACAATATGTACTCTCAAGAATCTACATAGAAACAATATGTACTTAAAAGAGTCTACATGGAAACAATATGTACTTACAAGACTCAACATGGAAACATTCGGAGATACTTTTAAGTCCCATCTGGTCATCTGGCGCCCCTGGGGGGCATTGTTTACACTTGATCTGGTGAGTCTCGTCCTGGTAAAAACCCGTGGGGCAAGGAGAACACTCCATGTCAGCCCCGTCCAGGAAATGGCCCTTGGAGCAGCCACCTAGGTGTAGACAGGAATAGATGGGTAGACATTAATTGAAATTTAAATACTAGAGTCAGCGGTACAACATCATATCATTAACGATACAAAGCTAGCAGAGGCCCAACAAGGGCTTTGTGTACCAGACGCTATAAGATAAACGTAATTGTTCAAAGTCATGCAGACTAACGACACATCAGGCCATACAGACTTAACACACATAAGGTCATACATATTAACGACACGGTAGGTCATACGGACTTACGACACGTCAGGTCATACTCCAGGACTGACCCCTGAGGACATCTAATGTACGTCGTGTTGTCACTGAATCTAATTTTTTCTGTGAAGCCCCTCTTGAAGTGAACATGCAAGTTTCTATAAGATTAGATGTTCAACATCTGATTAGTATCTCAATCGATATATTTGAGTCCCATGACGATCGCATCTGTAATCAATATGCTCCTGGTTTGTTTGAAGCTATGTATTTGGGTGAATGTCCTTGTCGAGCAGCCTAACCACGTACTTAACCAATCGCGAACTTAACCAATCACGCACTTAACCAATCAAGTTCTTAGTCAATCACGTACTTAACCAATCACGAAATTAACCAATCATCACGTACTTAACCAATCACGTACTTAACCAATCACGCACTTAACCAATCAAGTACTTAACCAATCACGTACTTAACCAATCACGTACTTTTGCAATCACGTACTTAATCAATTACGTACTTAACCAATCACGTACTTTATCAATCACGTACTTAACCAATCACGTACTTAACCAATCAAGTACTTAACCAATCACGTACTTAACCAATCAAGTACTTAACCAATCACGTACTTAACCAATCAAGTACTTAACCAATCACGCACTTAACCAATCACGTACTTAACCAATCACGTACTTAACCAATCACGTACTTTTGCAATCACGTACTTAACCAATCACGTACTTAACCAATCAAGTACTTAACCAATCACGTACTTAACCAATCAAGTACTTAACCAATCACGTACTTAACCAATCAAGTACTTAACCAATCACGTACTTAATCAATTACGTACTTAACCAATCACGTACTTTATCAATCACGTACTTAACCAATCACGTACTTAACCAATCAAGTACTTAACCAATCACGTACTTAACCAATCAAGTACTTAACCAATCACGTACTTAACCAATCAAGTACTTAACCAATCACGTACTTAACCAATCACGTACTTAATCAATCACGCACTTAATCATTCACGTATTTAACCAATCACGTATTTAACAAATCACGTACTTTTGCAATCACGTACTTAACCAATCACGTACTTAAACAATCAAGTACTTAATCAATCACGTACTTAACTAATCACGTACTTAACCAATCAAGTACTTAACCAATCACGTACTTAACCAATCACGTAATTTTGCAATGACGTACTTAACCAATCACGTACTTTTGCAATCACGTACTTAACCAATCACGTTCTTAACCAATCAATAACTTAACCAATCATGTACTTAACCAATCAATAACTTAACCAATCACGTTCTTAACCAATCAATAACTTAACCAATCATGTACTTAACCAATCATGTACTTAATCAATCACGTACTTAACCAATCACGTTCTTAACCAATCACTTACTTAACCAATCACTTACTTAACCAATCACTTACTTAACCAATTATGTACTTAACCAATCAATAACTTAACCAATCATGTACTTAACCAATCATGTACTTAATCAATCACGTACTTAACCAATCACGTTCTTAACCAATCACTTACTTAACCAATCACGTACTTAACCAATCACTTACTTAACCAATTATGTACTTAACCAATCACGTACTTAACCAATCACGTACTTAACCAATCACGTACTTAACCAATCACGTACTTAACCAATCACTTACTTAACCAATCACGTACTTAACCAATCACGTACTTAACCAATCACGTTCTTAACCAATCACTTACTTAACCAATCACTTACTTAACCAATCACTTACTTAACCAATTATGTACTTAACCAATCAATAACTTAACCAATCATGTACTTAACCAATCATGTACTTAATCAATCACGTACTTAACCAATCACGTTCTTAACCAATCACTTACTTAACCAATCACGTACTTAACCAATCATGTACTTAACCAATCACGTACTTAACCAATCACTTACTTAACCAATTATGTACTTAACCAATCACGTACTTAACCAATCACGTACTAAAAATGATGCTCGTACCTAACCAATGACATAAATAACCAATCACGTACTTAGCTAATCACGTACCTAGCTAATCACGTATCCAGGCAATCACGTACTTAACATATCTTGTATCTAATCAATCATGTATTAACCCAGTGGTTGGCAAACTCATTTGTCAAAAGAACAAAAAATCAGCAGCAGGACAATTAAAAATTTTTGAGAGTCAAATTTCTTTTCAAGAACCTGTCAAGAACCATGTTTATTCGGAGTCAAAACCAATTTTTGGCCGACTGGCCGAGCCGTATTCAGGTCTTTAAAGAGCCGCATGTGGCTCGCGAGCCACGATTTGCCCACCTCTGTATTAGCCAGTCACAATAACATATCTAACAATCACGTATCTAACCAATCACGTATCTAACCAATCACGTATCTAACCAATCACGTATCTAACCAATCACGTATCTAACTAATCACGTATCTAACCAATCACGTATCTAACCAATCACGTATCTAACCAATCACGTATCTAACCAATCACGTATCTAACCAATCACGTATCTAACCAATCACGTATCTAACCAATCACGTATCTAACCAATCACGTATCTAACCAATCACGTATCTAACCAATCACGTATCTAACCAATCACGTATCTAACCAATCACGTATCTAACCAATCACGTATCTAACCAATCACGTATCTAACCAATCACGTATCTAACCAATCACGTATCTAACCAATCACGTATCTAACCAATCACGCGCCAATGCTTTTAAATTGTCTCAGTTCTTATTTCATTTAGATTGATTAAAAAGTTTGTTTTAAAATACTATGGAAGAATAAATTTACTCTTTTAAAATATAAAATAATGACCTTACTCTTCTAAAACATAAAATAATGACCTTACTCTTTTAAAATATAAAATAATGACCTTACTCTTCTAAAACATAAAATAATGACCTTACTCTTTTAAAATATAAAATAATGACCTTACTCTTCTAAAACATAAAATAATGACCTTACTCTTTTAAAATATAAAATAATGACCTTACTCTTCTAAAACATAAAATAATTACCTTACTCTTTTAAAATATAAAATAATGACCTTACTCTTCTAAAACATAAAATAATGACCTTACTCTTCTAAAATATCTCGCATGCCATCAAAATGGTTGTCGACGTTTTCGATAGAAAAAGAAATCGATATGATAAAATCTACCTGAGGACAAATGGAATCGATGTGATGAAATATGCATTGGGTTAAATGGAATTGAAATGATGAAATTTTCTTGTGGACATATAAAATCGATATGATGAAATCTTGCTTTTGACAATAAATAGAATCGATATGATGAAATATTGCTGCGGACAAATAGAATCGATGATGAAATCTTGCTGTGGACAAATTGAATCATTCAATCGTTATAAACCTTTAATGCTTCAAATAGTATCGAAAGTATAAGGATTCCATTAAAGTCCCATCTAACTAATCATAGGTATCGGCCCAGGAAACTCTCCAGTTTTTACAAAATAATTTACAGGCCTACTCACATAATAAATCTGCCAATCTTTATGAAAGAGATTTGAATAAACCTTTAGAGAGCTAAGTTTTGTAACTACAGCTTTAGTTCTTGCAATGCATTTTGTTTATATACTAAATACAAAACATTTGCAATTGTACAGCACTAACTTGAACGCCATTTTGTCTCGACCGAACAAGGGAGCTACGTCCTTTTTTGTGTACTTCTTAACGTTCAATCAGTTGTTTGCCTTGCCTTTCGGAGAAACCGACCATCTCGATGAAACCGACCATCTCGATGAAACCGACCATCTCGATGAAACCGACCATCTCGATGAAACCGACCATCTCGATGGTACGTATGTCGTGCATAAACCAATCTGGATTGGTGTGTTTGTCGTACATCGGTCCATCGAGATGGTATGTCTGTCGTACTTCTCGACGGCATTACCTCTGACATATTATGCAGACGATTGCTTCCCAAACTGTTACGTTTAGCAGACTAGTGGATATATTTCCAGGTGCACCATGGACCAGTTGACATGTTTCAAGGTGCACCATTGATCAGTGGACGTGTTTCAAGGTGCACCATTGGTCAGTGGACATGTTTCCAGGTGCACCATTGATCAGTGGGCATGTTTTCAGGTGCACCATGGACCAGTGGATATTTTTCCAGGTGCACCAAGTCCATCTAACAAATGTATTAATCATTTCTATATTGTATTTAACAAATACCTCCTAACATTTTTTTTTTAATCTGTTGACAGCCTACTCTACAGGATTCTTAAGTATCCTCTTTTACAGCTAGCCGGTAAGTCTATACGCTTTTCATAATTAGAATCTTTTTTTCTTTGGACATATTTTTAATTAGCGAAACCAGCAGAATATTTCTATGAGAGAGAAAGTTATCCAGAAAATGTATGGTCCAACATTTAAGTGCGAGAAACCACAAATAAAATGGACTCTTATCAGAATCCAACAATAGTAGCAGAATTTTTAATTTTTTTTTTAAGGCAGGAAACGCTGGGCATGACACTTGGAAAAAAAAATGTAAAATGGCAGAGGAGTGAAAAGGATGTACCATCGAAAGCCCCGAAGAGAAAGGGTGCAATGCAAACCTAGGCTAAGATGGATAGATGATGTGGGAACAGATCCACAGCAACTGGGAAGCCAAGCGTGGCAAAGAAAAGCATAAGGTTTGATTGAAATGAAGTGGTGGGCCAAGCCAAAGCCCTACACGGAATGTGGCGCCACAGGGATGGACGGGTGTTTTTTAAAAAGAAAACAATCGTTAGCCTTTGAAATGTCAGATCTCATGTTTACCTACAAGACAATCTCATCGTTTGCCTTTGAAATGTCAGATATCATGTTTACCTACAAGACAATCTCATCGTTAGCCTTTGGAATGTTAGATCTCATGTTTACCTACAAGATAATCTCACTGTTAGCCTTTGAAATGTCAGATCTCATGTTTACCTACAAGATAATCTCATCGTTTGCCTTTGAAATGTCAGATATCATGTTTACCTACAAGACAATCTCATCGTTAGCCTTTGGAATGTTAGATCTCATGTTTACCTACAAGATAATCTTACTGTTAGCCTTTGAAATGTCAGATCTCATGTTTACCTACAAGACAATCTCATCGTTAGCCTTTGGAATGTTAGATCTCATGTTTACCTACAAGATAATCTTACTGTTAGCCTTTGAAATGTCAGATCTCATGTTTACCCACAAGACAATCTCATCGTTAGTCTTTGAAATGTCAGATCTTAAGTTTACCCACAAGACGATCTCATCGCTAGTCTTTGAAATGTTAGATCTCATGTTTACCCACAAGACAATCTCATTGTTAGCCTTTGAAATGTCAGATCTCATGTTTACCCACAAGACAATCTTATTGTTAGCCTTTGAAATGTCAGATCTCATGTTTACCCACAAGACAATCTCATTTTTTTAAAAAGTAAATTTGAAACGAGACTCAAAAAAGGCAAACAATTTTTTTTCTTCAATTTTAGTGTGGACTGGCAAAGGCTCGTGGACCGATCCTGAGACCAACCACTTTGGGGAAACACTAAGACTTATGTATGTAGTGAGATGATGCTAGGAAAATGAATTCGCTTATCTCTCATCATGTGTTGCTGAATCGTTAATCTCCCATACGTTGGGAAAATGTTCCAGCAATGGAATGGCTAACCTCATATCTTTGCTTCACACATGTCACCGTCAGGTTGAGGCCACATTTTGACTTGTCACAACGATCGACGAACTTTGGACCCTGAAACTTCCGCCTGATCAAATCTTCGTAGTAACTTGTGTCGCCATCTGGAGTGCAAGGTACCGCCGGGATCAAGGTTAGGGCATAGTAGTAGTTGATGTCAATTGGATACCATGCCTCTAGCAAGGAAGAAATGATTGGGTGTTTATAATGTAAGAATGACCTAGAATGTGATTAATGATTGGCTGTAAATTTTCTTCTTTTTAATACATATGGTTCAGGAATGGTGCATGCTTTTAATGCTGTATGTGAGTGTCCATTGCCAGAAAACTGTCACATGCTTCTTTTACTGCTGTGTGTGACAGTGTACATTGCCAGAAAAGTGTTACATGCTTTTACTGCTGTGTGTGACAGTGTACATTGCCAGAAAAGTGTCACATGCTTCTTTTACTGCTGTGTGTGACAGTGTACATTGCCAGAAAAGTGTCACATGCTTCTTTTACTGCTGTGTGTGTGACAGTGTCCATTGTCAAACCATTCGTGACTTAAGAGGGGAGATCAGTCGGTAAATATCGTCCTAGATATCCTAAAATCGAATCGGTACTTAATTTAAATACAATAAACAGAAAAATGGCCTTTGAATATGCTACTACATGCCTGTGTTATAGAATGACTTGTCAAGGTGTTACAACCTTGTGTTTTAACAATGACATATCTAAATGGCATCAAACTATTCTAATCTACAACAAGCTTTCAGATATCTGTATGTGAAATAACTACTCTCATCTAGGACATAACTGTGACGTTCCTGATATCTGTATGTGACAGAACTACTCTCATCTATAGGACACAACTGTATGAGATAAAACCAATGTATCTATAAGACATACCAACACAATCAAAAAACTGAGTGGGCTCCCAGGCTCGTCCCCCGGGTTGTTCTAAACACTGGTACACGCCTCTGCTCTTAATGTGTAAACGCTTCTGGAAAACAGTTAAATTACATGGATATTTAACACATTCAAAAGTATTAATTTAAACACCTACAAACACATTTTCTTGTTAAATAAATTTCCAAATATGTATCTATATTCGTTGTATTGCATGACTTAAGAACAATGATTAGTGTCTTTTATCGTTGTTTAAATGATCCATTATTTTAATTTAATTTCCAAATTCGGCTCGTCACTTATATTAAGGGGTGGGGGTGGGGTGGGGGGTACTGCTTCAGAAAATTATTTTTTTTATAATGTGCAAAACGAAAACCATAAAGATATTTATCATGTAGGTATATATGTATGTACGCGTATTTGGAATAGAATGTTACAAAAATCGTCTAAAGTTGATCTCATTTCTATGCTGTAAGTGTGACACACGACAGAGGCGACACACTGCACAAAATAGACACGGTCTCCCACGCAGGCAAAAAAGATTGGAACTGCGTGAGCGACAGTGCTTCTCTCTACTGACGACTACATCACTTCTACCCCATGGCATGTGCGCGTGGTACAAACCAACACCCCACATCACAAGGAACTTTGACGTGCACAGTCCCATGCAAGAATATTTTAGCTTTTTCCACAAATAAGATTAAAAATGATGACCCGTGACGTTATGAATGATTTATCATGGTCATCATGTATTAAATACTACGTACAAGCATTAAAGAAAGAAAGGGAAAAAAAAGATCATGACAATGTGTTATTAATTTTTTTTAATAGTGAAAACAGTGGGAGGGTGGGGGCGCTGGGAGGGTGGGGGCGCTGGGAGGGTGGGGGCGCTGCAGTTTCACAGTGCAATACACCAGCCCCCTCCCCCCGTTACTTCATCAAAGATTAATTTTGATGCGACGATCTGTGGTGCCAAGCTGAAGGTGATCGGGTTCCTTACCTTGTCACGTGACCGCTGTGTTATCGGCACCATGTAGCCAGGCTTACACTTCATCACACACGTCTCATGACGGTCCACCTCACTGGTACAGCTGTAACTACCATGCTCCAGTGTTGGCAGGGGAGAGCACTTCGAGCCTGTACCATACACACACACACACACACACACACACAAACACACACACACACACAAACACACGACATTGGTGGTTATTTCCATTGCCACAAAGAACAATCGCAAAACAGAAGAAGTCAAACTTATTGTTACCATTTTTTGAAACTACTAAAGAAGAAACAACTAAGTTAATATACACCACTTATACTTTACAAAGCCAAAATTATTTTGCTTCACGAATTAAAACTAATAGTTAATTAATTTTTTTTTAAACCTACATAAATTGTTATGCTTTATTTTTTTTATTTTTTTATTTTTTTTTTAAAGTATTTAAAAAAATTATCTAAACTTTCAAGTGTCTCCACATAAACCCACTTCGCACTCCAACGAGCTCTCCACTTCTTTCAGCTGTGAAGAGAAATGAGACAAACAAATGAATAGTTTGGCCTCTTGCTCATTGGCTGGATATCTATCGGTTAATGAATAAATACTGGCCTTTTTTGTTTGTTTGTTGTTTTTTTTTTTTTTTGGTTGATCTATAATGATATTAAAATAATGTGATTGGCCTCTTGCTCATTGGCTGGATATCTATCGGTTAATGAATAAATACTGGCCTTTTTTGTTTGTTTGTTGTTTTTTTTTTTTTTTTTTGGTTGATCTATAATGATATTAAAATAATGTGGTCCTGCTGTCAACTCACAAATATTTGTTAAGCACATTGCCATGTATTCTATGAAATTAGCCTTTCACTTAAAACGAAATATGCTGAAGATCCCTGTACAAGCGAGGTGGACATTAAAAGTCCTTGTTTGTATTTAAGCCAGGGCGTTCTTAACTCGTATTTTAAGGACAAAAACATTCATAAACTTCTCATGCTACACAAACACATCTCACATACATCCTGCACAAACCTACCTCCTCTCAATCCTATGACATTTTTTTTTCTTTGAGCTGTATTGACATAAAATAAATTACTATACATTTCAATACGCCTTGTGAAATAGTGTTATACTCCGAAGACATTATGTTATATTCCTATCACTAAGGAAGACTCTATCGATCTAGCACGAAGTGATGCTTTATCTTCAAATAAGTGATGTTTTTATCTACCACCAAATGATCTTTTCTCTACAACTAAGTAATGTTTTACCCACAATTAAGTAATGTTTTATCTACCACTAAATGATATTTCATCTATATTATAATACTTGATTTAACTGTCTTTGAATCTGCTGCATGAAATTATACATACATGTTGGCAGGAATTCTTGAAGTTGTACTTTTGTTTTTTGTTGGGTTTTTTTTGCGAAAAAGTTCGTACTAAGAATTAAGCTGCAGGCGGTAAAAAATAAATTTACATATTTATAGCATTAGATCAGGAAATAGAACAATAGCTTTAATAAAGCATGGCACTTACCTTGGATTAGTTGGTTCAAACATACCAAAACGATCAATACAGAACATGTATTCCAATAAATTGACATTTCCAATTAGATATGACGCTGGAATTAGGGGGTCAAAATAACTTTTTGGGTACGTAACTGTCACAGAGCTAAGTTGAGTTAAGGGATTTAAGTGAGGTGAGAATTAGGACTTATGATTTATAGAGTATGGAACTTGGTAAGAGGAACCAATGAGAGAAGAGAAAGGAGGGGGGGGGGGTAAGATGGAAGATGGAATCATGGCGGTTGTTTTAAGTCCATGCTATTAATATCTTAATTAGTTGATGAGATAATGAACAGGTTATGATTGTGATAAGTATTCTCTATTTGTGATTATAATTGCTTATTCATGAGTGTGTATTAATAATAAATGATAGTCACTATCTTTCACTGAACTCCACAACACCTCTGTTATTGATAGATATAGATAATCTATTATTATATAGTTAGTAATTAGCATTGTGGTAGTCTTAGTCTGTGCACTGTGTGTAAATATAGACGTGACAATAACAATTAGCCTACCGCTACAATTGATGTTGTTGTTTTTTTGGGGGGTTAACAAATTTCATCCCCAATTTAATTAAACATATTCACATTAAAGACAAAAACAATTTATGCGGGTAAACAGCTAGCATAATATTAGTCTTTAAATAAGTACAAAATCAAATTAAGAAGAATAGATCTTACAGCTGAATGCCTTTTTTTCAGTTTCAAGTAGAAAAGAAATAAATGAATATTTAAAACATTGATCTTAGTTTCAGACTCAAGAGTACAGAACAGTGCAAATAATACAGAAAAGGTTTCCCCGTTTATGCGTTCAAGATAACTGCGTAATTTAAAAATTGCACATCTTTCTGTGAGAATTGGGTTGGTGTGAATTAAAGTGAAATGAGACCCGACCAGACGAATGAGATCTGCGTTTATCACTGTGGACGTTTAGTCCATTAACTAGGTCAACATAAATTATCACCTATCAGTCTAGGCCAGGTGAGTCCCTTGGCAAGGTGTACAACAATTGGCGGCCCAAGAGTCGTGAGTCATCAGGCTAGATGCACAACAACTTGCGCCCAACAGTCGTGAGTCATTAGGCTAGATGCACAACAATTGGTGGTCCAAGAGTCGTAAGTCATCAGGCTAGATGTACAACAATTGGTGGTCCAAAAGCCGTGAGTCATTAGGCTAGATGAACAACAATTGGTGGTCCAAGAGTCGTAAGTCATCAGGCTAGGTGTACAACAATTGGTGGTCCAAGAGTCGTGAGTCATTAGGCTAGATGTACAACAATTGGTGGTCCAAGAGTCGTGAGTCATTAGGCTAGATGTACAACAATTGGTGGTCCAAGAGTCGTGAGTCATCAGGCTAGATGTACAACAATTGGTGGTCCAAGAGTCGTGAGTCATCAGGCTAGATGTACAACAATTGGTGGTCCAAGAGTCGTGAGTCATTAGGCTAGATGTACAACAATTGGTGGTCCAAGAGTCGTGAGTCATTAGGCTAGATGTACAACAATTGGTGGTCCAAGAGTCGTGAGTCATTAGGCTAGATGTAAAACAATTGGTGGTCCAAGAGTCGTAAGTCATCAGGCTAGATGTACAACAATTGTTGGTCCAAGAGTCGTGAGTCATTAGGCTAGATGTACAACAATTGGTGGTCCAAGAGTCGTGAGTCATTAGGCTAGATGTACAACAATTGGTGGTCCAAGAGTCGTGAGTCATTAGGCTAGATGTACAACAATTGGTGGTCCAAGAGTCGTGAGTCATTAGGCTAGACGTACAACAATTGGTGGTCCAAGAGTCGTGAGTCATTAGGCTAGATGTACAACAATTGGTGGTCCAAGAGTCGTGAGTCATTAAGCTAGACATACAAGAATTGGTGGTCCAAGAGTCGTTAGTCATTAGGCTAGATGTACAACAATTGGTGGTCCAAGAGTCGTGAGTCATTAAGCTAGACATACAAGAATTGGTGGTCCAAGAGTCGTGAGTCATTAGGCTAGATGTACAACAATTGGTGGTCCAAGAGTCGTGAGTCAGTAAGCTAGATATACAAACATTGGTGGTCCAAGAGTCGTTAGTCATTAGGCTAGATGTACAACAATTGGTGGTCCAAGAGTCGTGAGTCAGTAAGCTAGATATACAAAAATTGGTGGTCCAAGAGTCGTTAGTCATTAGGCTAGATGTACAACAATTGGTGGTCCAAGAGTCGTGAGTCATTAGGCTAGATGTACAACAATTGGTGGTCCAAGAGTCGTGAGTCATTAAGCTAGATATACAAGAATTGGTGGTCCAAGAGTCGTGAATCACTGGGCTAGGGGTCAAACAATTGGTGGCCCAAAGTCGTGAGTCACTAGGCCAGGTATACAACAATTGCTTACCCCAGAGTCGTGAGTAACCATTGAACTCTTAAAGAGTGGTCTCAGGCCATGTAATATCACGTGATCATTAGACGAATTGGTCTTTTCGGCATGACCATTTTTTTACTAGCAATGTTTCCCATCAAGCCTCTTTGTAAAGTTACGTTTCAACTTTACTTGGCAAGACTACGTGGATTTTCGTCCTTGATTTTCGTCCCGCGAGGTCCACACCAACGTCAGCAAGATTAAGTAATGTGAGTTTTGATATACGTAATAAAGTTCTTTACATATAGTCGTCTGTTATTTTAATGCAATTGTTGATAAACAGACATGAACTGTGTATATTCGTGACGACTGACATCCATTACAAGTATATACAGATTAGCCATTAGATATACCAAATATGTGAATAGTTTTAATGCAATTTTCTCATTTGTAACCAATTACAGTTTTTAATATTGATTTAACGGTTATGAGACGTTTTCATGTTCTATACCGACTCCTCACTCTCACCCCTCCCCTCTGGCTGTACTATACCGACTCACTCTCACCCACACCCCCATCTGGCGGTACTATACCGACTCACTCTCACCCCCACCCCCCTCTGGCGGTACTATACCGACTCACTCTCACCACTCCCCTCTGGCTGTACTATACCGACTCACTCTCACCCCCACCCCCCTCTGGCGGTACTATACCGACTCACTCTCACCC